TAGTTCTGAACTGCTTGTTGGAATAAACCTATAATGAGAATCACCTTTTGTTTTTAATGTGAGCACAGTTTAGCAACACATTTATTTTTATACATACGTTTATATATATATATATTGTGTTCGTAGGTTTTATTGGAGATTTGAAGTATACAGTGCTGCGATTATGCTGTCATATAAAAATACTACAATAAACATTTGAAAATAAGTGAATTATGGACAAAATTGAGCACTTAGGGCTTTCATAGAATCTTTAAGAACTAACATGGAAATAAAAATGTAGACAAAAGTTCAAAATACATATGATATAAAATATCTAGTTAATTGCAAAAATTTCATAGTTGCAATCAATTTGAAATTTGAATTATTTTCAGATGCGAAAACCCCGCTGATATACTACGATCCTTTTTGACTAGAAACCTGAAAATTGCACTAAAACGAAATCACTTTGAACCAATCTGCTTCAAACACATTTATAGGCGTTTAGCGATGCATGGAGGTATCTGTACCTAAAGAAATTATTCTGTGGGTTCCTGGGAGAGGGAGATTGTGATGTTCTGGAATAGAGAATATTTTGTCGTTGTTTATGTACAGTGGTGCAGCGCTTTTATACTACTTAGCAGAAGCCATGGGGGATAGTTTGTTGATTTCAGTGTTTCGAACTGTCAAAGCTGTTTCACGGATTACCCATATTGTTATGTATTGTGAATTAATATATACTTTTATTATTATAACTTTAATTGATATATTCAGAAAACGAAATATAGGATTACCTTTTGAGGATCTGGCTGCCATGGTTATAGTCAAAGGGTTTTTGACATACAAAAGAGAGCTCTACGACCTATAGGGGTTCGTCTTAAACTTATTATAGGAAAAATTCATATATTACTGGCTACTTCGAACTGTTAAAATATATTTCCCCTAATTTTGTATTAACAGATCAACAAACATCCCTCACATAAATTAACAACACCTGAAAAAAACATATTACAGTGGTACACGATTTTACAGTGAATTACCTGACCCTACAAAATCTATTAACAAACAGGCGAAAAAGTATTAGTTATTCGACGATTATGCAACGATCTCAATGTTATATAGCCGTTAAATGGAACTACATATTGTAGGCTTCAATTTTTACTAACGTTTCGGTCACCTCGGTGGCCTTTTTCAAAGTGCACGTTTTTGATCTATACTTTGAAAGAGGCTTAAACCTTAGTAAAACCTCAACCTAACATATGCGGCCATTTAACGTCCAAAAAGCACATGGAGAATTATCGGCATGATAACCCCATAGGATGACTTTCACATGTTACTTTGATTATGCACACGAGTATTTAAATCACACGTGTAATATGGTTCTTGGATACATTTCTAGTGGATTTTATTTTGTCTTTATCCTCTTTATTTCTTCACAGTCATTGTCACCCTCACATGTGGCTCGTAAAAAATAACAGCGTACGCCACTGCTCCAAGCAAATGAGCAGTTGGCGTAAACCGCTCGATAGTTGTTCTGCTCTACGTACTTTGAATCGCACACAGCACATTCAATGCTCGATTAATTTCACGCCTTATTAACAATTTTTTTAATTACACATTAAATTGTCTGGCAACGTAACATGTCAATTATTAAAATATTTTCCAAGGTTTACATATTGGAATTACTGTATACTCGTGAGTCAGGCATTATTTTAAAATATGAAGTACCATCAAATTGTGCGATAAAAAGAAGAAAAGAGAAGAATATCCATATAAATGGTCGTGCTCCTTTAGAAAATTCATAAACTCTTGTTGCTAATGATGACCTTCATGGAATACGCCCAAAAGATGTAAAATTTTGTATAGAAAGAAGTTTGTATGTTTATGTATCTATCCTTTATTTTTTTTAAATACTTGCAAGATCGGAAATAAAATACATACGAAATAATACAAGTACGAAGATCAGTACATTTTAATCGAACTCAGATGCGCAACGGCTTGCTACGGAAGTTAACCCCACGAAGCTGAAGCGGGCCGCTATACCCTGGTACCGAAAAGGAAGGGAGTACTCGTACAACTCTCGTAAGTACGTCACTGTTGGACATTAGTTTGTTTACATAGTGCTCTGTGGTTCAACCAAAAATTCCGTTAATTCTAGTTCGAAAAAATATGTAAGTGCATGTAGAAGTGCTAATAAGCAGACAAGGCGAGTCCTGAATTAGATTCTGTCCTGGTGCTTTTTGAGATTAAGCAAATTTGAACTCAGTTTCTTTGGCGTGCTCCTGGTTGGACTTTGAACCCTATTCAACCACAGCATTTGACCTGTGACTGTACGGATGTTGCCAAGATGTGAGTAGTTTTGAAATTGTCGAATTAGCCAAGCTCAAAAATTCCTGAAACCATTTGTAACTCAGGGATATAAGAAGAGGTACCACCCGCTCTACTAGCTACAAGATTGTGACTCTGCCAATGTGGCTTTAGTATTGGCAGATGCAACGAAGAAACTAGTTGCTTGTTATAAGATCATAAAAAATCAGAACTCCAAAATTGAAGAACTCAGCTTAGTCATAGCTGAGCTTAGTAATAAATTTGATGATGTTATCCTAAATCAAAACACCCCAAAGCAAGCAGACCCTGTCACTTATAGCGATGCTGTCAAAGGTGAAAAGCCTAGGGAACATAGTCTATTTGCAAAATCAGTTAAGGCTAATGACAGTGAATCACTGAAAGAGCAGCTGATAAAATTGCACCTGAGCAACTACAGGTTGGTGTTCAAATGGACAGAGCTTCTGACAAAGGCAGTATTGTCTTTAAGTGTGACAATCCACGATCACTTGAAAAACTTAAAACCTCGATTGGAACAAGTATGGCAGATGGTTGATGTGCCTGCTACGAACATCCAGTCAGAAGCAGATTTATTTACAAATAAATTAAAGGCCCAAAACAACATAGGTGCTGAGTGCACTTTCAATATAGTTTACAAATATCCAGCTAGGAATGGCAAGATGGATATTGTAGCAGAAACGGGTCCTTCGATTTTTCACACACTCTTGCATGTAAATAAAGTGAATATAGGTTGGAGCAGGTGTAATGTCTTTGAGCATATTTCCATAGTGCGATGTTCTAAATACGGTCATGAGCAAAAAAGTTGTGTGAAAGATATTGTTTGTCCTCTGTGTATGGGTAATCACGAGAGGAAATCCTGTAGAAGTCCTAGTCTTAAGTGTGTCATGCAGTTTGGGATAAAAAGTGTGCCTCTTTCAACAAGGTGGAAGATATAGTTCGTAACAAAACAAACTACTGTCAGGGTTAAATTTAAATTTAGGAAAACATTTTTTGTATCGTCACTTTTAATCCTATACAAACTCTTTTCTATACACACCTTTTATTCTTTCTTCTTATAATCCCTTACTACATCCTTTGTTTGTTTTTTTTCTGAATGTTTTAACGATCTTTTAGAACTGATAAACATGTATGAATTTGATGTTATTGCAAGTGATGACCGTAATTTATTGATTGGCTTTCTAAATGTGAGATCCTTGGTTAGCTCCTTCAGTGATATTAGGGATTACGTTTTGCTTCAAAACTTCGATGTGTTTGGTTTAACAGAAACATGGCTTAAGCCTGAAGTTTCGAACAAGCATATTGATATTGAGGGATTTCAACTTTTTAGATCAGACAGACTTGACAAAAGAGGTGGTGGGGTGGCTTTTTACATAAGAACTAGCCTTAGTTGTAACATATGTAACTCAAAAAATCAGGTTGAAACAGGTCTAGAACAACTATGGGTTAAAATTAAAATTAATAAGCACGTATACGCAACTGGCATGGTTTATAGACCACCGTCGGTAGATTTCTCAGCACTGTTAGATCTGGAAGCATCTTTGGAGGACTTTCATTTGGAAGTAGATAGTAGATCATTTGTATGGCTGACCTCAATATTAATTTGTTGAAAAAGTCTGGTTCAAGTTATGATTTCCTAAGTAACATATTGAGAGACTATCGACTAGCTCAGATTGTTGAAGAACCAACCAGAGTTACCAATTTCACCTGATTGACGTGACATTTGTTAGTCAAAATGTACCAGTCACTACAACTCTCACTGTTAACTTCCTTTCAATATCTGACCAACACCTTGTATATTTTTGCGTAGAATCACTACCTGTCGCCAGCAATGTTGAGTATATAGAGACAAGAAATTTAAAGAATATGTACATGTACCTTTTCATTACTGTCGCCTCTTCTCTCTACTGGTTAGGTGTGATCCATAATCCTGATATTAAAGTTGAGTATTTGAATAAAATAATTCTATTTGTTCTGGATGCATGTGCTCCTCTGAAATATAAGAAGGTATCCAAAAGGTCACTCCCTTGGATAACACCGAACATACGTCTCATGATGAAACTAAGAGATAAAGCTTATTTCAGTTATAAAAACTTAAAAAAGAAAAATTCATTGAACAAAAATGGATTTATTACGAACAATTACGAAATTTAGTAACTGCGTCCATCCGTAGAGAGAAGAAGGCTTACGTTGAGTATCAATTAAAGGAAAACCGCAGTGGAAATGTACTGGTTTCAGTTAGGTATACATGGTAATAAAAATAAGTTTAACGACTGCCCTTTTGAACCTGACTCAATAATTTCTTTATAAATTCAATTCCAAATAGCACTATGGATTAATTACTACTAGTGTACTATGAAAATCACAAGCATCGTTCTGTTGATGAGGATTTTAACTTCACTTAATATCTCAGCACATCGTATTTGACGAGTTTATGAAAATAAAATCAAACTGTGCAGGTCATGATGGACTGAGCCTAAGTATATTGGAAATGTTCATACCATATTGTCTTAATGCTATTGCACATATCATTAATTTTTCTTTGGAGACTGGCACTTTTCCAGAATTGTGGAAATTACCAACTGTAATACCTCTGCCAAAGACTGATAATCCGCTGGAAGTGATTATAGTGTCTATTGCCTATAATGTCTAAGTTATTAGAAGGAATTGTATTCGTGCAGATGTCTATTCATATAAAAAAATATAAACCTTCCACACAATCAGGCTTCAAACCTGGACATAGTACTGTAACTGCACTGATTGATGTCAGTGACGACTACTTAAGAGCCATAGACGATGGTAACGTTACAACATGCGTGATGCTAGACCTGTCTAATGCTTTTGACTGCATACATCCTAGATTTATTTTGGCAAAGCTGCCTTTTTTTGGATTTTCTGCACCATCTCCTGCCTGGTTCTCTAGTTATCTATCTGGTAGATCACAAATGGTGAAACTTGGAGCAATAATATCTTTGAAATGCAATGTTATGCAAGGTGTTACACAGGGTTCGATCCTGGGGCCAATTTTATTTAATATTTTTGTATCAGATTTCAACTAGTCTATTTCTTATTGTAAAGTTCACTCCTATGCAGATGACACCCAGATCTACCTTTCATATAAACCTGATGATTTTTTACAAGCCAATACCAAACTGTCAAGAGACCTACAGGCTGCAAATCAATATTTCTCTAGCCATGGATTACTTATAAAACCAAGAAAATCCACCGTGATTACCCTTAACTTAAATCCAAGCTAAGCAATTTTGACAGTAAAGTTGTTAATTTATCTATCGGAGGTGAGCCACTCCATCATAAACTGCAGATAAAAAATTTAGGTGTGATTTTTGACTCATCGTTAACATTCCATGACCATGTCACAATATTAGTACAAAGCTCATATAGTGCCTTGAAAAGCATATATAGTTTCAGACACGTACTTTCTGAATCCGCAAAGTTAGGTTAACTAATTCGTTGATTCTAAGCAAAGTAGAATATGCTGATTCTATGTTTGGTCCTTGCCTTATACAAAATGAATCCTACAGGTTGCAAAAGATCCAAAATGCATGTGTCCGTGCCCGACGAGAAAGTATATCACCATATTTGAAGCGTATTACATGGTTAACTATGAGAAAAAGGTGGATGGTACATCTGTACTGTTTGGTGCACTCCGTTCTTTGTAATAAACCTTAAAAGATAAATTATCAATGCGTAATCAAAATCGTAATGCAAATCTCAGATTTGTCGATCATACACTAGATATTCCTGCTCACAATACAACTAATTTTAAAAAATCGTTTTCTTATATAGGAACTTGCATTATACAGGGTGGCGCATCGAAAACGAAACAGACGCATTTACTGGCAGCTCAGTTTTTTTCTGAAAAATCCTCAGACCCGTCGATTTTGTTTTCGAGGGGGACACAAGTTTGGCAAAAAATCACGTTAGCACGTGCAGCCCCCTGGGCGGGGGTGACACCAACCCTAAAATCTTAAATGGAGAGGGGGGTCGAGTGATAACTTATTTTAAAGGTCTTTCAATTCCCTTTATAATGATGTAAAATACTTGAGCTTCAGTTCAGTAGTTTTGAAGATTTATTGATTTAAAGCTTAAAGTAGACTTTAATAGGTACATTTGACTAAAAGAATTTACTTAAAAAGTAAATGATTTTCTTCACTACGCCCATGGTTTGTTTATCATTTTGTTGTTGAAAATAGATATTGGAGCATTTTGTTGTGGCAGAAAAGTTATTTCTTGAAGAAAGACAAGGAAATATCTCGTACTTATTTTAAATAGGAATTTAGTACATAGTTTGCGATTGATTTGACCAAACTTGGTTGCTAAAATAACTTGTAACGCTTTATTATATAAATTAACCATGGTATATTCCACAGCAGAAAGAGTTGAATTTATCGAAATATTTTTCGGAAATAGAACAGCAGAAATATTTAATGAGCGACATCAGAACAGTAACGTGCATCGAAAATATGTTCTAGAACTTGTAGCTAAATTTCGGAAAACTGGGTCAGTCGCCAATAAAAAACGCAACATTGAAAATCCCATAAGGAACGAAGCAATAGAAGTGGGGGTTTTAGGACAAGTTTATGTAGATCCTACGTTAACTACCCGCAAATTGGAGACTGTGTGGTGTTAGTCGACGTACTGTCCATCGGATTCTAAAGGCCCATAGTTTTCATTCGTATAAAATTCACCTGGTACAAGAACTTAATGAAGACGATTTTGATCGGCGATTACAATTTTGTGAAGATATGAGTGAACGAATTATAAACGATGAACATTTTCTATTCAACACTTCCTTTTCCGACGAATGTTCCTTTTTCTTAAATGGCGTAGTAAATCGTCATAACTGCCGATATTGGTCCGGTTCTAATCCCAGAATTTATCATGAGGTTCATACACAGCAGCGACAAAAACTAAATGTTTGGGCTGGTATTTTTGGCGATCATTTAGTTGGTCCTTTTTTCTTACCTGGAAATTTGACCGGTGAAATGCACTTGGAATTACTGGAAGACGCCATAGATCCTGCATTAACAGTCATAATTGAAAATTAGAATGATCGGAGGTACATTGCGAATAGGTTGATGTTTCAACAGGATGGTGCCCCAACACATTACGCATCACGTGTTCGACAATATTTAGATCAGACGTTTCCAGATCGATGGATTGGTAGAAGAGGTGCCATTGAATGCCCCCCAAGATCGCCAGATTGATCACCTTTGGATTTCTTTATGTGAGGTCATTTAAAAAGCAATATCTATGCTACTCAGCCAACATCATTAGAAGACCTGCGACAAAGAATTGTGAATGAGTGCCTTCAAATTACTCCTCAAATATTGCAAAATGTGCGGCAACGTTTTGAGCAAAATCTTTATTATTGCATGGAGAGTCATGGTGGCCATTTTCAACATTTACTTGCGTAACGGGTCTGTTCACTAATAATGATGTATTAGTTTTATTTAAGCTTTAAATCAATAAATCTTCAAAACTACTGAACTGAGTTACTTCAATTTCATATCATTATAAGGGGAATTGAAAGACCTTTAAATTAAGGTATCACTCGACCCCCCTCTCCATTTAAGATTTTAGGGTTGGTGTCACCTCCGCCCAGGGGGCTGCACGTGTTAACGTGATTTTTTGTCAAACTTGTGTCCCCCTCGAAAACAAAATCGACGGGTCTGAGCGTTTTTCAAAAAAAAACTGAGCTGCCAGTAAATGCGTCTGTATAATAAAATACCGCTTTCAGTCAAGCAGCTACCACTTAGTAGATTTAAAAGACAAATCAAGGAGCTCATACTTAAAGACGGCCTATCTATATAACTATAAACAGACTCTTGTTTTTTTTCTTGAACTCTTATAAGTTATAAAATTTTATTGTAAAGGTGCTTGTAAGCGATTGGAGTGTTGGTTAAGGAGTAAGAACAGCTCCTAGCTGAATCCTCGCCAGGAAAATAAAAGGCATTTTATTATTATTATACATGGCACGCCACTGCAGACGAGGTGTGTCTTTCAACTGACAAAGTCGGTGACCGCGTATCCCACCGTATTCAAAGAGATGCCGCGCTTGCAGTGACGTTGTCAAATGGGCGGAGATCGATTGCTTGAGTCTATTTCACTGACTTGATCCATTCAATGCCTGTATTATACATGTTCCTAGTTACGCTTTGTACAATTACTGGAGACAAAATAATGCTGTCGCCAAAATGAATTTTATGAGAAATACCCAATTTTTTGTATAATATGTGAACCATCAACAAAAAATAGGCACATTTTCATATCATGTTTTAACCGCTCTAAACAAGTCATACAAAAATCAACATACAAATACATCTACAGACCGCGATAGAAGACGATCATAAATTAACTTCACGTAATGTTATTTCTTAATTAACGAACCTTCGTTAGCATAATAGGAACTAATCTTAAATTTATATTAGTTTATTAACTCACCGCGCCCGCTGTGCTACTGAAATATTAAGTCATTTCACTCGAAATGGCTCGCTATCTATTTTCTCCTCTGCCCACCTACCTTGCCTGCTACGTTCCCGATTGTAAAAACACTCATAAAATCAAATTAGGTTTGTTGATGGATGCTACGGCAGCCTCAGAAAACTCTTCCCATCGTAAATTTTCTTTTTGGTAGTAAGAGATGCGTGCTGTAGAAAAATAGCACACCACATAACATAGGCGCCGCATGATCACGGAGGAGACAAGATTGTCTAGAATTCCAAAAAAGTGAATAGATGTATTTGAAAATGGAATTATATTATTGAGACTTATTGAAAAGGCGTATCAAAAGAGGTTGGCCGAGATTTAAGAATAATCGAGACTTATCTGGAGACACCTGCTGTCATCTAGACGACTTTCGCGAAAGTTCGATTTGGATCTAGAAAACGCAGGAACGTTTCTCGACGCATCGATTGGTGGATAAATACCCGACCAGATGGCGGAAGCAGTTAGCCAAACAACGCGGAATATCGTAGTCTAGTCGACATTGTGATAAATTAGTAGGTATATTGTAGATACTTGATCAAACGCGGTTATTAAAATGAAAGCAATATTGTAAGGATATTACAAAAATCTTTTGCACGTATTGTGAAATCTAGTTATTCAAAGTCTTTCTATTCCCCGACCTAGAATTTGGCTAAGTTACTACGTATTGGTGAATGGCGGCTTAAATCTTGAGATTTTTGGAGGAACCCCCTAACTTGGCAACGCTTCGTGCGATGTGCCGTTTGTATAACTAATTTGATTCAGTCGACAGACAGGGGACCTCAAATGCGCCGAAAGGTCACTAACTTTGTAAAGCTATAATAAATTATAAAGTCGTCAATAGACGTCGCGAACAGCACTATACCTTCAAAGGGGTCTTTGATGTTGACTTTCATCGTGGATTACTTTAATCTTTTGCCAATAAGGGATTATTGAATATTGATCCGCATGAAATTAAGGTGTCTTTGATGGGAGTGTTGACGGCATTGTACGATGGAAATTGGCAGTTGGGTATAAGCAGCCAGGTGAATATGAGCAATGTATGCAAGTTTAAATTGGCCAAAGTGCAGATAAGTTATCGATCACTGTATTTTAAAGAATGAGGACGCATATCTATGTCTAGAGGTGAGCGGGTCAACGTATAATATTATATCAATATAACGTTCAGGAACTCTGGGTTTACTATGGCTCTACTTTCACGTTGTATTAATTACATTAGGCATAGGACAATCTGTCAGCATCACGAAAAGTATCCCCAGAGATATATTGAAAAAACGCTACATAATCCAGTTTAGACCAAAAATAGTAACTGATCTACCAACTGAATCATGTACGAGGGCCATTTTTAAGTACGTACCGTTTTGTAATGAAGTCGGAGGAACTATATTTATGAACGTCGACTGTATCACAAACTAAAATATTAAGTTTTTTCAATGTAGTAGTAATAAAAATAAGCATGTGTCAATTCGTGCTTTCAAATTCCATCA